GACCAGATATCCACCCTAAAAAATTACTTTTCCCCAATGTATTACAGTACCAAATTCTGAAGAAGTCAAAACCAAAATGTATTGGTAAATTACAAGAACACACACACACACACACACACACACACTCCCTTCTAATCCTTCTGGAGCAGGTGATTGGACGAATAGATATATCATTATCTTTCTCCTCCCTCCCTCCCTCTTAATTTCTTTTTCTTTCTGTCCCTTCCTTCCATCCCCCCTTTTTCTTTCTTTCCCTTTTCTCTTTCTCTTCTTCCTTCTCTTTCTCTCTCTCTCTCTTTCCCTCTCTCAGGGTCACCCCACTGACTTCGTGCACCGCTCCGTTCGGACTTGCTTGGGCAGGTGCCTCCGGTGCAAGGGGCTCAATGGGGTGGAACGCAGCAGCGGCGGGATGTTTGAAAAGGAGAGCAAAGCCACTCTGGCTTTGCTCTCCATTCCCAACACTGCGTTCGGGGCAGAACTCCTTGCACCAGAGCGTGCAAGTCAATGGGATGATCCTGCGGGGCCTTGCCTCGAACACGGCAGCGGCGGGATTTTTTCTTACCCCTGAATTGTGCCCTGCCACTCACCTCCAGTGCCCCCTGCTGCCTCTTAGTGCCCCCCTACCAGCCTCCTTGCCTCTCAGAGCTCCCCTAAGGCATCCTACTGCCCCCCCAGGGGCAGTACCGCCCACATTGGGAACCACTGGTCTAGGTTAACTCTGCCCCCACCTTGACCTTCACCACCCCCTCCAAAACATTGGCCAGACTGCCAGAATTATTTTTACAATAATTATTTTCTGTCCAATAGATGTAACATGTGTGGTTGCAAATTTTTTCTCATTAGTGGCAAGAATATACCTAGTGGTGGCATGTTTAGTATAAGGCTGAAATAAACTACACTGTTTTAAATTTAATTATACTTTTATTGATCCATTCACTTTTATTTGTATTCTGGTCTATGATCTTAATAAGCCACTTGGTCATCCTGTAATTGAATAAGTACTAGAATGCCACATTCCTCCGAGAGTTTCTCCATTGAAACAATTTAGAAAGTAACCTCTTTTTATCATAAATGAAAAATGGGCAAATTTCTCTGCTATACACTAAAAATGATTTTTGCTAAGCCATGGTGATCCTCATAAAACATAGATTAACAGAGTTGGAAGGGACCTTGGAGGTCATCTAGTCCAACTTTCTGCTCAAGCAGGAGAGTCTACTCTATATCACTGCAGAAAAATGGCTATCCTATCTCTTCTTGAAAGCCTGCACCCATAACCTCTTAAGGCAAGCAATGCCACTGTTTGGTTGTTGTCACAGTTAGGAAATTTCTCCTTAGTTTTAGGTTGCTGCTCAATTAGTTTCCATCCATTGGTTCTTGTCTTGCCTTCTGGTGTTTTGGAAAATAGTTTGCTTCCCTATTCTCAAATACTGGAACACTGCTATCATCCCCCCCCCCCCCCAGGGGGATATACCCATCTCCTATTCATATATTTAGAAGAGACTTCCAACTATTACCTAACTATGAAGGCTTATGGAAGAAATTATTTGGCATCTAGCCTAAGCTATTAATAAGCAATGTCCTTAACAAAAGATGGCAGCTAGTCATAAATAAATTATCAGTTTTTTAAACAGCAAGTAGTCATTTGGACAAGAGGAAGTATGGCTGAAAGGGAGAAAGGAATAAAAATAGGATGATTTATGATTGACAATATATATATATATACACACACACATACACACACGTGTGTATGTGTGTATGTATAATTTTTTAAAATATAGACTAAAAGTAAAGAACAAGGACCACTTTTGCAACTTCAAGTAAAGAAGTAAAGCATTCCTGCTTTAACAAAAAAAAAAGATATCAGATTTTATAGAATCGCTAGTTCATCAGAGTAATCTCCTCAATAAAAGTGGCTTGTTATTTGCAACGGTCTGTTAAATGCAAAATAAATAAGAAAATGCCTGCCTTTGCTGATCTTGATCTGGCGATATAGCGGATTGAGCCATTATTCTACACACATACACATATGCCTATGGGAAAGGGGACTCAGGTATCTTTATTCATCTTTCTAAATTTTACGTCATGGTGATTTTTGGAACTCTACCTTTCTCTAGGTAGATTTCCCTAGGATTCACCCAGAATTTTGGGTGGTTGTGAAACTTGAGCAATCAGAAGAAGAAAGAACTGGAAGAATAAAAAGACCGGCCTTTGAGGGACAATGTTTCAGAGGATGACTTTTATCCACCCTCTCATTGTATTGTTCTGCCTCTCTGCTTTGTTCAACTAAACTGTTGATTGAACTGACTTTTCAGCTAACAAGATGCAACTTGAGTAAAGATCTATGCTTTTTCTATTGACATTATATACTAACTTCTTTTATTATTCTTTATCAGCTAACAGAAGTTTCCTTTTTTTTGTCTCTGGAACTGCCTGCAGAGCCACCTGAGAAAAATATATTGAAGTTTTCAGAAACACTACTTGGGAATGGAAAAATTAAAAAAAAATATAGCATACTCTCAGCTGATAACAAATTATTCTAGCATTCTCCCTAGTAATACATTTCTTATTGTTTGGAATAAATCAATCTTTGAGTAAATACCTGATACAAAGGAAGTTTTTTGGCAAGAATATGTTGAATTCTATAAATCTACCAAGCAAGTCATTGGACTTCTCATTCCAGTGAAGTATTCACAAGCACCTGATAGAAATAAAACACATACAAGTCTGTTAGGGTAGCCCCAGAAAAGGATGCTGAGGATGACATTGCTTGGAAATATCCCCTTAATTCCTAGTGCCACTCCCTTCCATTATGGTGATATTGCCAGATCTACAAATCACAAACCAGTATTTAAACATACCCTGAAGTTTAAGAACATCCACGGAATAAACCAAAAGGTTAAGAAGCTACCTAATGAGCATAGAAATATTTTTAGATTTAAATGCATCCCAAAAATCAACTTCAATAAGGCACAGAAGCAAAAACTAACAAAAACTAAAACAGCAAACCAAAACAAAAGGAAAAATCTTTTGAAAAGTTTTTATATTAATTTGATTAGTTTTGTAATTTTTTTTTTTTTTTAGGAGAAAGGGGGAGAACATGCATATGCTGTAGCATCCTGTTAATATTAGGCTTCAGAATTTTATATTTTTCATTATGGATATTAGTATATCTCACAAAATCCTGCATCCCATAAAGAACCTATGAGATCTTATGTCATAATAAAATGCTGTTTAACATACTATAAAACTTGCTTTGGTAATAATTTCCTGCATTTATCTTGATGGTTTTAATAAATTAGGAAAAAATAACAGAAGCCAAGAAGTATTTCTTCCTCTCACACAGGCACCGAGCATATGATAGTCGATTAAGATCATGAAAATACAATTCAAGAATCCTTCCAAGTTGGTAGAATTCCCTTTCATGGTAAACTGAATGTAAGCAGCAATGAATGGCTGTTAAGGATTGCTTGCCTTTTGTCTTGTTAGGGTTAACTGTTAGGGCTCTCTCCAGCTTCTTAGGTTCCTAACCACAGGTATCATAGAATAATAAAATGTTCACTGTGACATTTGGAAGAAAGCTCCACCCCTGATGTATTCATACTTGTGTCATGCAATGTCATGACACAAATTCAAGAGAGGTACAACATCATGAGTCATACTTTGTCAGTTTGGCATCAAGGTTAAAAGTGGGGGGGGGGGGGTTGCTCCGAGCAGCAATAATGACTACACATAAAAATAGAAGGCACAACAAAGAAAAAAACCAGGGCATAATTTAAATCGTTTAATTAAGATTATTGACTAACTCTTAGTTGATTAATCATTCTTTCTGGCAGTAAATTCCTTCTGATGGGATAACTCAATGGCCCTGAACGCAATAAAAAAGTTAAATAAACTGGATGAGTATTACTACAACTCCTACATCAGGTCCAAGCAAACTAGCTACTGATCTAATATGAGCAACGTTTAAGTTTATTTCCAAAACTTATCCGGAAACAACCAGTTGTGTGTCTGCCAGATGCAAATAATGTTCCATCCTAACTTCAGATCTGAGTATCTTATTTTTGTCCTCCTCAGCTCTTTTCTGCTAGTCTTCATAACAACGAACTAAGATTTATTCAGGAACATACTTCAGTAAAAGGCTCTGCAGCACGAATACAACTACTGTACCAGATAAGGAAACAGCCAGTCTGTCTCTTATAAAACACATAAGTTCCCTAGGAATAAACTTAAATATTTCACTGCTGACACTTCACTCCTAATTGGAATTTTATAGACAAAGGCTGAGTCGATCTAATTTAGTTCCTGCGGATTTATTTATTTTTATTTATTTTATTTGGTTTGTCAATTGCTTACAAGATAATAGGTAAAGTAAAAACATAGTTATGAATACATGGATACATATAAGAAAAATAAAAAGAAACAATAGGACAGAGACGGTAGGCACGTTGGTGCGCTTATGCACGCACCCTACAGACCTCTTAGGAAAGGGGTGAGGTAAATAGTAGACAGTCTAAGGTTAAAGTTTTTGGGGTTTGGGGAAGAAACCACAGAGTCAGGTAGAGTATTGCAGACATTGACCACTCCGTTGCTGAAGATTAGATTAGAGGAGTATAGGACTGGACATGTAAACAGAGGAAAAGCGGAGCGAAAGTTAATCTTCAATTAAGCGCCGATGTGTTTTCTCCAAGGTTGCTGTGGTTGCTATCCCTCTGTTGCTATGGTAACTTTCCCTCCGCAGCTCCAGCATTAGGCAACACCCCCCTCCTTTTCACCTGACACGCGCGCGGCTCTTTCATTCTTATTAGGCGAACGCTTCTCTCAATGGCTGCCTCGGGTCACTCTTTTGCATTCCAGTCGGTGGAAATTTCCGTCTTCCGCCGCGCCAAGCCAATGGCGAGCCCGCGAGCCCTTCATCCAATGGCAGCCGAGGCTTCTGGCTGTTGTGGTTCGCGAGGGCCGCGCACGTGGTCCCGTTAAGCAGGGCGAAAGAAGCGGCTCCCGGCCTCTCGCGTGTCTCGCGAGCCTGCGCAGGCGCGCCAGTTCAAGGAACGATCGGCGCCGCCGAGAGGGAGAAGGACAGTGGTCCGGATTGCCTCCGCTCTTGCCCCCTCCGCTGAGCCATCATGAAGCAACAGCAGCAGCCGGTCATGTCGGCGGCCAGCACTGGCGCCGCTGCTGCCGCCGTCGCCGCAACGGCAGTCCCGGCCTTTCTAAGTAAACTTTGGGCTCTAGTGGGCGACGCGCCCAGCAACCAGCTCATCACTTGGAGCCAGGTAGGCGCTCTTAAGAGAGGCCAGCCGCGAAGTGGGGGGGGGGGGCTTTTCCTTCTTCCAACTGCCGCCCTGGAGCCTTGCTTTCGCGGCCAGGCTCCCTCTCGCCTGTACGGCCCCCTCGGGCGGGACAAAAGGACCGGCAGGAGGCGGTGTACGAGGAAGGGGGCGTGATCCGGCATGAGTCCCGGTTTTTTTCCCCCTCGGACGAAGGTTTGTTCCGAGATCACCGACGGGCCTCGGATCCTGTTACCTCCCCAATGCAAGCTCTCCCGTTCCCCGCATCGGTCGTTTCCCCGGGTCCGCGTCGCGCCCTCGTCCTTCCCGGGGACGAGGCCGTCGGGAGGCCTCAACTGTCACATGGCGGACTGCAAGGCCGCCGAGGGATCCTCCGAGTGGAAAGCGTCGTTGCAGAAGGGTCTGGACCGAGACCGCAACGGGGCGGGGGGCGGGGGGCGGACACGTCTCTGGAGTGTATGCAAAACTGGAGAGATCCCTTGGTGCCGCTAGTGGGAACCCTGAAACATGCCCGGTTAGCCCTGGGTGAGGAAGCTGATCCCTGTTAGCTAGTCAAGCATCCCACTTGACATCTCTGCTCAACATCAAGCTGTTCCTGCGCCTAAGGAATGTGCGTGGAAAAGTCTTGACTGTGTGTATATGATGCTTCCCGATAGTGCTGATTTTGTACACAAAAAGAGGGCATTGAAATGCACTCATCAATTTAATGTTCATACTCTTTCCATGCCCTGAACTACTTATTTAAATAATTGATATGGCTGCCTGACACTTGAGGTAAATAATAACCTCAATAATAAAAGCCACTCTACCGGCTGGACTTGCCTAGCCTCCTGGCTCATGCACCTGAGGAAAATGGCTTTAGGATATAGGAAAATTACTGCATTCTGGGTCTATCTCCCAATGGTTGGTCACAAACTTTCGAATGTGTCTCTGATAACTGGAAGAACTCACTTTATATTAGGCTGTCACCGGTTCTTTCTCAAGTTGGATATAATTCTTCATTTTCCATAAGTCTCTCCAGGCTGTCTCAGTTTGTTATTTTTCTTGTTCACCAAGTCAAGTTTGGCATCATATTTGAAAATTTTCCTGAATGTACTTACCTCAAGGTTTTTGCAAGAAAAATGTGTTTGAGGGTTTGTCCTTGTAATAAACAGGAAGTGGTGTTTGTGCCCCACGTTCTTCTGCAATCTTTAAACTGGAGCCCACCATTGATTTTATAACTGTATTAACTGCACATTCAGAAAGATCCACTTATTAAATATTTGCTGGAAGATAAAATTTCAAAATTTATTCTTGCTAGCTAATTTTCTGTCAATGGCTGTTAGAAGTAGGAAGCAATTTAATAAAGGAGTGTTGCTTAGAACAGTACTTAGGTCACTGTTCCGTTTTATTTGCATATTGTTTTCATGGTCTATCTGTTCTTTTTATTGTTAACTACCTTAGCTCTGATCCATTGGCTATTAACATTTAAATAGGTTCAGAAATGATCAGGAATGTCAGTCCTGACTTCCTATTTTGCTTTATTCTAGCAAGAGTAAATTGGTTCATACATTTTCTTACTCTAAATAAAATATGGTCTAATATAGTAAATTCAATTCAATAAATTACAGTGGTTGAGTTCAAATATAATGGAAATCACAAGCAAATCCAATTAGGGTTTAGTTATTGACTGATGGTAGGTAGTCAAACTGCTTTTCTGTTTGTCACAATTTGGGGAAATTACCTATTAGTAAACATGTAACTTCATCAGCTTCAAGTGGAAAAAAACCTCTGTATAATATCAGTAGATTCAAATGTTATTAATATGGCTTGTTTCAGTAGACTTTTCTGTGGATGTTGGAGTATTTTCAGCATATAAATGTCCTTGGTCTTGAGTCTGATTGGAAATAGCGCAAATATAGCCTAATACAGTACTAGCAGAGATAGTTGCTCCATAGATCAGTATTTGGTTTCAAAATATTACAGAGAATACACTGTAACAATTAAGTTATTCTTATTCTGAGGACATTGCTTACAAAAAAAGTTCTTCGATATTAAGGGTGAGAGAATTTACAACCACATTTGTTCTTGTGCCAAATACTTATATTTGGAGATGGAGAGATGCTGTAACTGTTGTAAGAAATACGTTTCCTTGTTACGATTTTGAAGTTTGTTTTTTTTCTCAGAGGAATTTAATATTAGAAAAAACAAATGAAGTTATACCACTTTCTATTTCTGCTGGCATAGGGAATAGTATTTGTTTTTTTTTTTTTACTTTTAAGATTGTTTTTGATTCTGTACAGGTTGCAACAGAGGAATTGGAAACTAGGGCAATCAATTTTCATACATACTCTTTGGATGAGTTAAAGCAAACATTGAGCAGATCCTAGGAGACATTCATAGTTTACATTGCCTTTATGCCATGTCCACTTGCATATGCCTTTTTCTTTTTAAAATATAAGTTGGGTATTTAATTGTTTTTTTCTTTATTCTAAAGTTTTATTTTGGATTAATCACTAGTAGGTAAACTAGGCTATTAGGTCATCTTAATGATATAAAAATAGATCTATAAATCCTAGTCTTCCAGAATATAATTGTTTCTAAATCCCATTTGCTTGGAGATCCCATGATCCACTGGTATATTAAATGTATATCAATGTGATTTTATGTTGATGCTATTAGTAAGTGATTACCAAACATTGGTAGGATATCTCTGGTTTTAAGGCAGGACCATTTTGTCTTGTGTCTGAAGGGAATAGAGTAATATTGTTATTTTTTTATAATGACAGAATGATAGGCAGGCTATCTGTCGTTGCTATTATGCTGATTCCTTTTGCAACCATAGTCATGTGTTTGATTTTGTTGCTGGGAATATTAAGCATCACAGATTAATCTCCCCAAAATATATAATTTAGAGACATGACCAGAAAAATCTCAAGTTCAAATACTGACTTAATTTGGGAAAGCCATAATGTTGTTATTTGGGTTTTATTCATAATATTCAGTTGTGTTATAAGCCTCTTACAAGAATTTAGTTAATGTACAGGCAGTCCTCGACTTATGACCTTTCATTTAACATCAATCCAAAATTATAATAGGCTTGGAAATGGTGCTTTATAGCCCATAAAGCACTTCAGCCATCACAAAACATTGCACCATTATGCCTGTGGTCACAGGTCCACAATCTGGTATTTGTCAGTCTATTCACGCTTACAAGGGGGTTGTCAAGAACCCCATGCTCATAGTGATAGCTGTTTGCAATCTTTGCCAACTTATTGAGAAAGTCAGAAGGGAAGCTGGCAGGGAAAGTTGCAAGCTGCTGCTTCTTGCTGAGTGAACTGCCTCCTGTCTCTGGAGATTGGCTGAAAGAGCTGCCTGACAAGGGGAACTGAACTCCTCTGATGAGGAGCAGAAACAGCTCGAATCCTAAAGCTTCTGCTTCATTTCTGCACCCTGCTGAAAGTGCTCTCTCCTTCCCATGGAGGGTGCAGAAACAAAAGTCAAATCTTGAATATTTGGGCTGTATTCCTGCACCTTACTTGGACAAGATCTTTCCTGCACATAGAGGGAAAGTGAACTCCAACAGGGTGCCAAAATGGAGCTCAAACCATTTTGAACCATTTTCCTGCACTCACCTGAAGGAATTCCCTTCTGTGAGAAGAGGGTAGCGAATTCCTTTGGTAAGCAGCTCTTTCAGCCACTCCCAAAGGCGAGAGGAAGCTGAAGCCTAAGCAGAAAATGGGGATGTAGTGTGGTAAGGAAAAAAGGGCAGGGGATCTCAGGTTGGTTGATGGGGGAGGCCCATCACAGAACATGTGGATGAGTATCTCTGTTCAGGGCTGAAAATGCTGCTTGGATTTTCAGCTCCTGAGTTAAGCCTCCCCCAGGAACCTCACCCTCCTTACCAAGACTCTGTCCACTTAATGATCCACAAGATCGCTTAATCACAACCATGATTGACAGGATTGTGGTTGCTGAGCAGAGTAATCGCATGACATCTTGCTTAGTAACTGCTTCATTCAGTGACTGAGATTCCAGTCATAATTGTGATTGTATATAAAAGTATTTAAAGATAGTTGTGATTATATATAAAACTATTTAAAATACTATGAACACTTTTTGTAGGGGAGGGGGGACTGCCGTAAAGTTAGTGTTGATGTCTGACTGCCTAGACATATCCCTGCAATGTTCTTGGCAAGACTTGGTTTGGTTTGCCATTGCCTGCTTCTTCCTATAGCTGAGAGAGCCTGAGCGATCCAAGGTCACCTAACTAGCTTTGTGCCTAAGTTAGGACTAGAATTCAGGGCCCTCTAGTTTCTAATCTAGTACTTTAACCACTATACAAAACTGGTTCACATACACACATATATGTAATAAAATCTGTGTAATTAAAAAAAAAAGAGCTGTTCCATTGTAGGGGGCTTAAATGATTAGCACTGCCTTTCCTTAGGTTAGCCAATCTGGTGGGAGCCTGCTGCTAACAACTGGTTAGGTGTTCATAGCAATAGCACTTAGACTTATATACCACTTCACAGTGCTTTACAGCATGCTCTAAGCCAGGGGTCCCCAACCACCGGTCCACGGACCGGTACCGGTCCGTGGAACAAATCCTACCGGGCCGCTGGTTTGCTGGGCGCCGCCATCTTGTTTTGATGAAAAAGTGCTTCCAGTAAGATCACCGGAAGCACTTTTTCATCAAAACAAGATGGCGGCACCCAGCTGATGCCGGTACCGGGCCGTGGCGCCCAGCTGATGCCGGTACCGGGCCGCAGCATAAAAAAGGTTGGGGACCACTGCTCTAAGCAATTTACAGAGTAAATTGCCCCTAACAATCTGGGTCCTTATTTCACCAACCTTGGAAGGATGGAAGGTTGAGTCAACCTTGAGCCGAAGAGGATGAACTCCTGGCAGTGAACAGTGAGTTAGCCTGTAACACTGCATTCTAACCACTGCACCACCATGGCTCTTAAAAGTAGAAGTTATAAAAAAATACATGTTTTAGAACCAACCTGTAATCAAATAACCTGTAACCAAAATTTGTTTTGTTAGGCAGTTTTTATATGGTCAAACATAATAAACTGTCCTGTAATTTGATCTGAGTTTCTGTCATTAATGTATTCATGATTTGCCTCTTCAAGATTCTGTGCTAATCTTGTTCATAATCATTACCATTTTCAGTGAAAGCTCTTATAATTTTGATATTAACTATATATTTTTAAATTAGAGGTTATATTTGCACTGAACAATGTTTCAAGGAGAAGTTAGCTGTAAATATATACAAACATGTTTTTCATTTCATGTAGATTCTGACCATAATTGTGTGTGACTTTTTAATTTCAGAATGGCCAGAGTTTTCTCGTATTGGATGAACAAAGGTTTGCCAAAGAGATTCTTCCAAAGTACTTCAAGCACAACAATATGGCAAGCTTTGTGAGACAGCTAAATATGTGTGAGGATTTTTTTAGTAATATGCGCTATTATATATTTAGATCTACACTTAAAATATAGAACATTTTATACTATTAATCTTGAAGTAGGTTCATTTTTTGTTTTACTAGTACATTTTATCAGTCATTCAGATTAAATTTTGATCATGAACATAAAATATTTTCTAAGGAATGTAGTTGCTATATTTTAGGAATTGCATTTGCTGAAATTTTCTCAGTGTTCTGGGTCCTCTGAAACACTAAAATCCAAAAAGGATTGTTTTCATGCCTTGTGTCATTATTGAACATTAGAGCTTCAGGGTTATGAAAAGATTTGACCTTTTGTAACATGTCCTTAAGCATCAGTTTGCAGAACTATTTTTTCACAAATATATTAAGAATAAAATTCTATTGATAACAAGTATCACCTGGAAAGGTTAGGTTTTGCTCAGTTGTAGTAGGGCCAGTTTATCTCCCAATTTTGAGATGGCAATCTTGTTTATATATTATGGCTTGGATTCATCATAATCTTCCTGCAAGCTGGAAGAATACTTTCCAACAAGAGAAAATGTTTGATACAGTGGAACATTTCCATTGGTTGACTTGGAAAGGAGGCAGTTTCTGCTGATTTCTCTCTATCTTTGCAGTCTTTTGTACCCCAAAGTCTATTCTAGAAGGTTATGCCATTCGTTGGCATGTAGAAAAAGGTGATGAGAGAATGGGAATTAATTAAAATTATTCATGTTCATTTTTCATGAGTATTAGTTTGCTAAGTGAAATTCTTTGGGGAGAAAGTTCTACCTGGCTAAAATTTCAAATGAAATCCATTGTAGTAAACATACCAGTGCAGTTTTCTTGGAATAATACAGTGTTATACTATATTAGGATAATAGCATGTATTTGTTAAACCCATTTAGAACATATGTGAACTAAGTGACCAGACACTATTTCCCATGTTGATTTTTTTATATATATGGCTTCTGTAGAAATTAACAGAATGGATTTGAGTGATAGTAAAAGACAGTTGTGCATTAGTGAAACTGTTTACACAAGAATTGCAGTTTTGGTACATTGTATAAGTATGGAAATCTTCACTTTGTTGAGTGAGGCCTTTGAATATTCTTGTTGATTTTTGCATTGTGGATATAATTTTTTTAGATGGTTTCCGTAAAGTGGTCCATGTGGATTCCGGTATTGTTAAATTGGAAAGAGATGGACCTGTTGAGTTCCAACATCCCTATTTCAAACAAGGACGAGAAGACTTACTGGAACATATTAAAAGGAAGGTTAGTGAAAAGTTTTATAGATCTTTGAGCACCTTTTGCTGAAGTTCACCTATATTATGCATATCTCACAGGCATCATAGTATTTTGGAATTCATTTCCAAAACAAATTTCAGTTTTTGTCATCACAGAAGACCTATTTCAAGCTATTATCAATTTGTATATTATTTCTCATTTGTATCTGGAATGGTTTTTTTTATAGGTTTCTTCCTCAAAGCCTGAAGAAAATAAAATTCGCCAAGAAGATCTGTCTAAAATTATAAACAGTGCTCAGAAGGTTCAAATTAAACAAGAAACCATAGAATCTAGGCTTTCTGCACTTAAGAGGTAAAATACACATTAGTCAATATGATGCAACTTTATTATCAAAATTGGAAAAACTGGCCTTTTATATCAAATATTTCAACATGAAAATTTCTACTTTAACCTTAAAAATTATGTCTCACACCCATAGAAGAGATTATCTGTGTCATATTATTGCTTATTATTACTGTTTTTCACAATATATTTCTAATATTCATCTGCAAACATTTTAATCTTTGCACTAACTATGAATGTCTTGAAACAGAGAAAATGAATCTCTTTGGCGAGAGGTAGCAGAATTGAGAGCAAAACATCTACAGCAGCAGCAAGTTATTCGAAAGGTAATTACCTTAATTTTTCTGAGATTCATTTTAATATATAATCTATGTGAAGGAAAAAGATTGGCTTTAGTGAATATAGTACAAATTGGTAGATTAAATAATTTTTACTGATTGCAATTGGAAAGTAAAAATTTCTCCAAAATTGGAATCTTTAGAATAAATCAGGGCAGATACAAAATGTATGTGGGAAAATCTTATTACTTCAGCAGAAATCCTTGTATATAATACTTGATGCTTTAGGCTAATTGTAATGTTGGAATTATTTCAAATGCTTTTGTATTGGCTATCCATCAGTTGTGCTCATTGTAGAAAACTTAGCTCAAGTTACTAATGCAAGTGCTTTATTTGTGAATGTTGATGTTACTAAGAAAATTAATAGAGATAATTTTGTAAAAATTATGAATATGGAAAAAAACGTTCCTTGCTTGCTTCAAGGGGCAAAATATACCTCACCCAATCTATATATTTTCCAACAGCCTCATGTACATGTCAAACAACAGGGGCAAGATATTCAATCCCTATAGAAGCTGACAAGGGAACATCCATGGAACCAGCCTTTTCTCCCCCATTGCCATTGATTGGAACTGCTTGTTTTGGAAGGAGTGAAACCACTGTATAACAGTGTCTTGAATCCCCAACCATAATAGGCAGTCTAGAAAGTTCTTTAGAGGTCAGGGAGGATCCAAGATAGCTGTGTCAAAGGTCATATACTAAAACAACCAATCCCATATTGTTTATTTCTAGGATTGCTTTAAAAGATCCATATAATCTGTTAAATCTAGAGCATCTGCCTCTGGAACCACATTATTTTCTCAACAACATTCTTCAAAGGACAAGACTATAGTTGCCTAATATTGCTTACTTTAGGGCAAGTTTATTCAGAAGGGAGTGCACCAATATCTCTTTAGAGGTATCAAGGAACCACAGTGGTGTTGACAGTTTCCTGAACCAGCTCTTCTCACATGTCCAAGCCATCTGAAGCATCTAGGAACAACATGGTTCCAAAGAGATAGTGCTCATACTGTAGAGCACTCTATCTATGTTATCTCAATCTGACAGTTGGAATAAATCTTGAAATATAGGCTTTTATGTTTGAGAATTTGCTGAAGAGATCCAAATAAGTTATTAACTTCTTTTGTTTTTGTGCAACTTGGTTAACAATTTGTTCTCTTATGCACAAGAAACTTAATTTCCAATGTAAATTAACACATTCTGTTAAGTTCAGACTTATTTCAACAGAAGTAGGAAAGTTTGTTTGAGATTGAAATGCAACAAAACATACTGTATTTTTTCTGCAGATTGTGCAGTTCATTGTTACTCTCGTTCAGAATAATCAGCTTGTGAGTCTGAAACGCAAACGGTAAGCTTATTTTTGAGAGTTCCGGCAATATTTTTTTAATGTAGCCTTTACAACTGCATTAACATATTTTTTTCTGATTTAGCCCACTGCTTCTGAATACTAATGTGGCTCCAAAGTCTAACTTATTTCAGCAGATAGTCAAAGACTCATCAGAAAACAAACATCATGTGAGTTAATTTTAAAACATATTTAAAAGTAAAAAGTTATATACCTTTAGGGAATTATCTTAATATCGATGTTTGAGATACGGGTGAAAACCAGTTTAAATGAAGTTTTATTTTATATGAGGAGATTAGTGATTGCAGTTCTAAGCAGAGACTTCCAACAATTTTTACTTGCTGTAGACCTACAGATTACAAGTAATCCTCAACTTATAACAGTTCATTTAGTAATCATTTGAAGTTAAAACGGCACTGAAAAAAGTGACTTATGGCCATTTTTCATATTTGGACCATTGCAGCATCCTCATGGTCATGTGATCAAAATTCAGACACTTGTTTTTTTTAATAAAATTTTATTTCAGTTTTCCACATATTAAAAACATCTATTTTAGTGAACAACATGATTCCAGGTTATCACAGTTCCATACAAACATGACTATAATTTCATATTCATCTTTCACATTTACAATTTCACAATCTTTTCCCTTTTCTCTCTCCTTCGCAGCTTAAAAATCTTCTTAGGGAACAATGTTATTGTTTTTTAATAGCTTCATTTCCAAGGTACCTTATTTGGCTTTTGCTGTTTGACCTGGTCAACCAAAACTTTCTCCTCTTATCTTCCTCCTGCACATTCTTTTCCGGTTGAGTTCTTTGTAGTGGCCATTTCTACCACCGCTGCAACTGCCTCCGGGAAAGGGAGTAATGGCCAGCTGCGGAGGAGAGATGCGGCTCTCTTCAACCCTGCAGGCAGTCTCCCCCCTCTTCACCACCTCTACGGGGTGGCTTAGCCCCAAAGCCAGCCGGCTCGGGGTGCTCCAGCGTCAGGCACGGATCGAAGCCTCGCAGAGACGAGGTTTCGGTCTGTTGCTGAAGAAGCTCAAACTGGAAGTCAGCAATTTACCTTCTTGTAGCTTTTCTTTCATGTTTCTAAGTTCCATTTTTAATTCCAAGAACAATTTTTAATTCACTTCTGTCCAGTAACCTAATTCAACCAGTATCTATGAAATTTACTTCCAACGATCAGCTTTTATCAATTGCTCTTTAGGATTTACCAGATTCATCCAGTAGTTCAATGTCTATAGATTAAAGTTTATACCAAACAATCCCAAGATAGTTTCTGCCTGCCTTTTTCTTTGTTTTAATATTCAATATTCTGCTTGTATTTTCCAGGGTCTCTATTTTATTGTTTCAAGTTTTCAGTTACTTTGTATCAAGTGAAAGTTTATAAGAACCAGACTAGGGGGGGGGGGGGGGGGAGAAACCCACAAGTTATTTATTTTACCAGATGGCACTCTCCACTATCTCCAAATTCGACTCTTTTTTCCTTCCACTTTTTCCTTCTATTTGAGGCTTTTTTGTTAAAGTTCAAAAACCCAATAAGTCCAAATGTCAATTGTTGTTTTTTAATTTCCCTTTGACATGTTCAAAATTCAGCTTAGATTAAGCCTGTTTAGTGTCAAAGCCGTATTTTTATCCAATTTAATCAGATAGTTTCTTCTGGCTTTCTAGATTTGAAGCCACTTGCAGCTGTCAAAACTTAGATGTTGCGCCAAGTTAGCCCAGTCTCCATGCCATCGTCTTCTTTCCGCTCCTGCACAATCTTGTCCGGTTAGCTCTTCCTCTTCAGGGTGGCCATGTTTGACCACCACTACAGCCGTCTTCGGAGAGGAGTAAATGCCAAGCCAGGGAGAGGAGATGCAGCTCCCCTCGACCCAGCTGGCGGTATCCCCTTTCTTCACCACCCCTACAGGGTGGCTCTGTCCCCAGATGCAGATGACCGGGGTCTTCCAACGGGAGAGCACAGATCGAAGCAGCTGATGATTGCGGTCTCCAGTCTGCCTTCGAGAAAGTCCAACCGGAAGTCCCCCAAATTCAGACACTTAGTTAACAAGTGACTCATGCAATGTTCTGGGGCCATGGGATCATATTTGTGACCTTCTGACAAGTAAAATCAATGGGGGAGCCACATTCACTCAACAACTATGTACCTTAACAACTGCTGTGATTCACTTAACAAATGTGGCAGAAAAGGTCGTAAATGGGGCAAAACTCACTTAACAAATGATTCACTTAGCAACAGAAATTTTGGGCTCAGTTGTGGTTGTAAGATGAGGACTACCTGGAATCAAAATTGTACGAACGCAAGTCACTTTGCACAGATGTACATACCCTGATATTCTACATTCTCCTTTAAGTCCGCCCTTTGAGCGCTCTCTCTTGTGCATTTTTCAAGATGCAGGAAATAGAGGGCATCACCATCCCATAGTTTTATCAATAAAAAATAGTTTCCACTGGAATAAATTTGTCTGTATTCTACCCATTGCATTTCTTTTCTGTAACCATTCCATTTTTTAGTAAACATGGTCCATGTTTGTGCCCATTATTTTGTTTTTAAAAGAATAACTTTTATTTCCTCTGTTGAATATAATAACTCTCCTTCAGCTATAACGATTTCAATTACAAATACATTAAATAATGGTTTATATTAAACCAAGCTATACAGTGCAGTGCAAATGTTTGAATTCCAGTAGAAAGAAAATTACAAAGTTTGTGAGGTTAATTAGTCTTGAGTTTGTGGCATATTTCCATTTCCCTAAGATTTTTAATTTCATTGTGGATTGCATAATACCCTTAAATTCTTTGTTAAAAATTAATTTTTTGTAGTTTAAAAGACAAAAAGGCAGTTTTATATCTAGTAAAACATTAGTCAAACTCCAGTAATCAAAACAGCACCATCTTTACAAAATGGAGTTATTGATAGACTTTAATTAAGGTTGATAGTTGCAGCATATAGCTTCAGGTCAAAAGGCAGAGAATTCAGAAAAGCCTCTTAAATTAATGGCTTACAATATTAACAGACTGAAGCCTTGTTTTAACCCTGAACTGGAATCCCACTCTTAAAGTTTCGTAATTAATGTCACTCAGATGTGAAGAAAGAGTCAACACTGCTCCTTATATAGTGAGTTGTAATTAGGATTGTAGCTGGATGATGGAAGAGAGAGAGAGAGACAGAATTATCCAATGAAGGCTTAAATTGATGTCTCCAGGACAAAAGTGAGAACTACTAATAAACACCATTTGAATAATGAAATATTTTTCATTGATGGCTGAGATTAGGTGCAAGTCTGTTCATTTCTTTCTCCTAAATCGAGTAAGAACCTCTGTGTTACAATACCATAGAGGTAATCCTCAGTTTACAGCAATTGAGCCCAAAAGGTGATTATATGACCCCAGGACAGTGTAACTGTGATAAATATGAGTCAGTTGCCAAAGACACGGGGATGCTCAACGGTCCTAAGTGTGAAAAATGGTCATGTCACTTTTTTCAGAATCATTGTAACTTTGAGCAATCACTATTGTAAGTTGAGGATTGCCTGTACTTCTTTTAGTCAAGATATTGCTCTTAAATTATTTAAGAATGATTATCCTGTTAGGAATCCTATTTTAATTCCATAGCTATGGAATTAAATAATTTGTAAATCCATTTCAAATGCACTCTGAATGTAGCACTTTTAACTGTTTCTTATTCATTTTGAAGACATTTCTATACTTATTTCTGTTTTATCTTTATTATGCAATTATGTTATTGCAGCTTGTAAATGGACAGGTTTCACATAACAGGAGTGATGGTTTAAAGCAAAGAGACCAACTGACAGATGACATTATTATTTATGATATCACTGATGATAGTGGGGATGAAGAAAAGGCACCTGTTACTCCGGAAACCAGTGAAGATACTGTTTCAGATTCAAAGTAAGAAACATTTATATGTGTAATAAACATAATTGCAATTTTGGACAATCCTGCATTGATGCCTGCAGTTTTAAATTCTGTAGATAAGTTAGCAGAATCCAAATATTTTCATTAAAATAGTAGTGCTTAGATCTGTCAAGACCTGATTCAGATTGTATCACCATAAGGACTAGTAGCAAATAACAATAGTAAAATTATTAATAATCCTGGCTTGCTTTGCAAAGCTAACTTAGAGCATCTGTTTTTGGTGATGGTGGGGTGTTTAAAAGCAAAAGTTCTAAATGCCTAATAAATGTAGTGTTGCAAATACTTTGTGGATTTAGTTAAATGGATTCTGATTTGTTTTTTAAAAAAGCTTATGCAAATATACACAAGTTAAATTTTAAAATGCCACATTCAGTTTAAGAAAATGTGCATGTGGAATGTGTGTGATTCTATTGTGTAAATATCTAGTCTCCCTTCTATTACCTCTCCAAAATGTATTGAACTTCTAATTATTCAAAGGGAAGTACAGAAACAGTGAAAGGGAAGTACTCAACCAGTACAGCTTGTTGAGCAAAGCTGTAAAACAATTTCATAGTTTTACTTCTCATCAAATTACAGAAGGCTTGCTTTTCGTTAATTTTACATTTGCATTGCAGCTATAGTCCTGACATTGTAATTGTAGAAGATGATAATGAGGATGAATATACACCTATAATTCAAGAAAATACAAATGCTGAACCAGTTGGTATTTCCTGTGATGAATCAATGAGTCCTTCCTCTGATGGTGCAAACCCATTAATGTCTAGTGCTGTTCAGTTAAACAACCAATCGACTTTAACAACAGAAGATCCAGTGTCAATGATGGATTCTATTCTTAGTGAAAATGGAGTGATCTCACAAAATATCAATCTTCTTGGAAAGTGAGTCATGCATTACTTTCTTGTTATTTTTAGCTTTAAAATTTATGCACCATCTTATTATCGTCCTCTTTTAATTGCACATGTATTTTACATTGCACATATGTTTTAAATATGCTGATTATCTGTTTTCCTGTTAGGAACAGGCTAAATTCAGAAGAATCCAATTTGCTTATTATTAGAATATGGAATTTTGAATTCAATGGTTTTAGAGTAATTGGGTGCTTATTTGAATCCACAATAACACATGTACTCTTTAAATTCCTAAATAATTCTTTATTTATAAGTCTTTAAATTCCTAAATAATTAGGTTTTTCTGTCAAATCAATTTCCATGCGCAATATTCTTGATAAATATTAAGTATCTCTTACAGATGAATTTCAGATAGCCTGGGTGGTTGTATCCAGGGCTTTGTGTAATTGTATTTATATGCTGCTGTCCTTGGATTTCATACTTTGTACCAGTTGATACTCTTATAGAGAAAAATACTCAAATATTTTTACATTATATAGAAAATAATAGTGCATTTTTCTTGATTTTATTTTAGAAGTCCAAAGTGGTAAGGAGGGAACAAGTTACTGCTAAAAAAAAATTAAATGGTCGTCTTTTTTCTTTAGGATGGAACTCCTGGATTACCTTGAAAGCATTGATTGCAGTTTAGAGGACTTTCAGGCCATGCTTTCAGGACGGCAGTTCAGCATAGATCCAGATCTTCTGGTGGATGTAAATATCTGCTGCTGCTTCTTTTTTCTGCTTCAATTTTATAAAACTCTTTTCTCTTTTAAAATGTTTTCTTTAGAAACATAAAAAAACTATATGAACAGTGTGTTGTCTAAGTACAATTAATTTTACAACAAAAAGCTAATAATTGTAAACATAGTATACATATCATCGATAACAACCACATAATGATATTAGCTTATCCATATTATAATACCTTCATTATATAGTTAATCATTCTTTTAATCTTTTAGTTTCTAACATCTGTTTCTGTTAGTTAACCATTAGTAAAACAAGTCCCTTTTTAAAAATAATGTTTCTTCCTTCTTTATTTTTAACGTTAATCTATCAATCTCTGCACATTCTAATATTTTTTATAACACTTTCATCTGTAGGAATCTCTTCATTTTTCCATTGTTGTGTAAAAACAATTCTCGCTGCAGTTAACACATGTAAAATTAGCTATGTATTCCCTTTATTATACTGTTCTGGTAAAATAACAGAAATATTTCTGGTTTAAAATCAATAAATACTTTATCAAGGTGCTATATTAATGCCAATTGCAACTTTAAAGTTTCAGAAAAAAATAAAAAAAAAAGTTCAGAGTAGTTTTCTGAATAATATTTCCAATGTAGATATTTTCATAACCAAAATACTGGGAAATTTAAAAATAGTCAACTTTATTATTTAGAATAGAATAGAATAACAGAGTTGGAAGGGACCTTGGAGGTGTTCTAGTCCAACCCCCCCACTGAGGCAGGAAACCCTACACTACTTCAGACAAATGATTATCCAACCTCTTCTTAAAAACTTCCAGTGTTGGACCATTCACAACTTCTGGAGGCAAGTTGTTCCATTGCTTCATGGTTCTAATTGTCAGGAGATTTCTCCTTAGTTCTAAGTTGCTTCTCTCCTTGAGAATCTTCTTTTTAAAATGTGACATTTTGTTTTGCTCAGCTTTTTTCGAGTTCCGTACAGATGAACCCTACAAGTCATATCAGTAGTACAAAAGTAAGTTTTACATTGGCACATCAATGAAATGTGTTAAAACATCACATGTTCGTATTTTTAAAAGTCTGAATTTTAGCAAGGTCATAATTTAAGATCAGTTCTATTTATTGGAATTGCCATGCTTTCTAATACTGAACTCAGCCCCTTTTCACAGCTTATTATTCCATGTTCTATATCTTATCTAGTACATCCTTACAGAGATTTGGACTTACAGTGATGTACTACAATTTAGAACTATCAAAATAGGGATGTTTGTAAAATGGGGAAAATATTTTGGTTTGAACCTGCAACAAGATGTTGTATTCCAGAAGTTTTGCTAAACAATTTCAGGGGACCCAGTTTGGCAATACTGAAACTTTAAATGTGGTGCCGTTTCAAGCTTCAGATGAAACAAAATCTGGGATCGGAAACTTGGACAAAGTTCCTCTCCCTGCACCTTCCCTTAACTGTTCCCAGGCGTGCACATCCCACCAGCCTGCCTTTCCCCCATCTTTTCAGGATCTTTTTTTTCTTTTCCCTCCCTTCAGCCACAGCATATTTCACTGACTGATCCATATCTCTTAACCTGCCAATAACTTTCCTTTTCTCCTTGCCTCTCCTCATCTGCCAACATCTTCACTTTTTCCATCCTCAATCCTTTAAACCATTTCTACCCATATCAAAACAGCTCTATTTTGTTCCATGGGGTATCAAAATATACCAAATATGTATGTTTTAGTTCAGGACCAAACCTTCCAAAACAAGCTGTGGCCTAAATGCTTTCTACATATTAGTGTAAAGTATGTATGTGGTAGGAATAAAATTACAATTTATATATTATGGTATTAATGTCCCCAGTCTGTTTTTCATATATGTCGAGGAAATACAAATAAAGGCTTCTAAAATTCCAAAAAATTACATGACAAAATGTTAGCTTGTCATTGTGTTTTCCTGAAAACTATTATTACTTGTTTTGGTTATAGCATCTCACATATTTTTAAATGCTGCTGCAGAATACAGATAATCCTCTGTTAATTACAGTAACCAGGACTGAAATTTCCATTGCTAAACAATGCAGTCATAAAATATGTCACATGACATCACTTAGCTATGGTAGTCCTGGTAGTTCCCTTGCCTTTATTAAGTGAGAATCCTGGGCTTTTAAGCAAGGACTTCCTTGCAACTTTCTCCTGGCTTCCAATTAACAAGTCAGTAAGCTTGCAATCAGGGCAGTGTGCCACTAAGTAACTGATATGTGGGGGGAGGGCTGCCACCAGGGGCCAAAGAGCCCACATGTACACTGCATTGCCCTAGCCATCCCCAGTTCACTTTTGCTGTCTTCTTCTTCCCCTCACAAGGCAGATGCTGGCTATATGTGACTTCAGGAAGGCTGCATGTGGCCTTAGGAAAAAAGCATCACGTGGCCAGCACCTGCCTCACAAAGGGCCAGACCGGCACACCTCATCAGCAGTGAAGGAAGATGGCAAAGGTCAGCTGGGAACAGCAGCGCACAGGGAGGCAGAGACGGTGAAGTGCAGGGCAGGTATAAGAGTAAAAAGGGGGGGGGGAGATAGGTGGGCCTGAGGAAATTGAAGTGCATCCCGCAATTATAAATGCGGATAGGTTACCAAGCACCTAGATTTTGATTATGTGATTACAGGGCCCCTGCAACACCGTAACTTCAAGGACCAGGTGGAATTACCATTTGTCCAGTGACATTGTAACTTTGGTCATAGAACAAATGGTTATTACCTGTATTTTACTTTGATAGGCTCTGTTCTGTAATATATTTTCTTCATCTCATCTTTTATGCAGGTGGAAACAAAGGGAATTGAAACGATGAAAAGTAATAGTCCACAAGAAGACTCACAAAATGTGCCTAATTCAAACCCTAAAACAGGTGACTGAGTTTTCATATTGTAAAATTGTTTGCTTGTCCAGTATTCACAATTTATGGACATTATTTTTAGATATGAACAATGCAATCAATGCATACTGGTAATCTTCTACAATATATTGAACGGGTTCTATTTTTTAATCACTTTCATTTTGTAAAAATACAGAAATGGTCTTTCTGTTTGTGTAAAATAATGCCTTTATTTGACTTGTTTTCTTCTACTATAGATAAACAGCTCATTCAATATACTGCTTTCCCTCTCCTTGCATTGTTTGATGGAAACCCAAGCACAGCAACAGAGAATACACAAGAAACCACATCTTCTGTAGATAAATCTATAGAAGTGGATGAACTCCTTGAAAGTAGTCTGGATCCTCAACCAACCCAAAGTAAACTTGTTCGTCTGGAACCTCTGACAGAAGCAGAAGCCAGTGAAGCTACATTATTTTATTTGTGTGAACTTGCTCCTGTGCCAATGGACACTGATATGCCATTGTTGAACAATTAACCCAATATGTTTAAGACAAACTATTTATTTAGGTTGTGTTTTGGGGGGGATGTTTATCTTTTGTAAACATTTTTTGTGAAAGCAGCTAATGGGGACTTGAAAAGATTCTATTGCTTCGACAAAATCAGAGCAGTTTAAATATTTACACAAACCATCAACAGTTCACTCACACTAGTTTCATTATATTCTAGTGTCGTTGTACTTTGAAGTACCAGCTAACTTCTGAATACACATAATCAGTTGCTCTGTATTAACCACTGTGGTATCTCTTGTTCATTTTTGGTCCTAAATGTATGACTGATACATTTTTTTTTTAACTTTTTGATGGAGGTCATAGATTTCCAAGTTCTATTCATTACTTCTTTATTTTTACAACCTTGTTTAAATAAAACTGTTAGGAGGACCAGAACTTTATTTAATGTGTCACTTAACTTCAAGTCTTTTATTTAAACGCTACATATTTTTAGGGACGTTAGAATACAGAGGAAAGAGATTGTGGAAGGAGACTGTCTGGCTCCCAGACTGAGGTTAATCTTTTCCACAGAAAGGAGTTCTGCATGAAGATACTTCTGGTTGTGGGATAGAGGGATCAATCTAGTCTATAAAATTAATTAGATTTTAATCTCAGTTATACAAATATCTGTGTCCTAATAAGTAAAAGCCAATTCTTATGGATCATCTTCCCGTTTCATAAAAACCTTGCTGCTGGAAAGTTGGAAAAATGTTTCCAGGTGTGTCGCCGAAAACAATGTTTATCTAAACATCTATTTACAAATGCCAGACCACACAGTAGCTTCAGTTTATGTGTATTTAAATAACTTTAAAGAAGTGGAGATACATATCTATGAAATATATGTGTATAAAGGACAATTGAGTGGATATCATACCAATTTCCCCAAAATAAGACCTATCCCCCCCAAAACAAAAGTGCTACCATGTTTTTGCGCGGGCACCCAATATAAGCCCTACTTAAGCGCCTGCGCAACCAGCTGCCCACCCATTCTGTCTGGTTGCTTATGCTGCAAGTCAGGGAGGTGGAGCTGCTCCACAAGCCCCATACTGGCTTACCTCAGGGCCCCAACAACCATGCCTTGACACTCCAGCAGCCCCATCCTCAGGTGGCTGTGCTTGTGTGGCCACAACAGAGCAGGAGGCTGAACAATGTGCTGGTGCCACAGCTGTAAAGTGAGGCAGGTGTCGGGGCATGGATTACCTGGTTGAGGGGCCTTGAGCTAAACCGATAGAGAGCTCTATCCTTGTGGCCTCAGTACATTGCTTTGCCTCCTCCATTGCGGCTGCATGAGCAAGTAGAAGAAGTGGGCCTCCCAGGTACCGGTACTCTTAAAAGTACATTGGAGAAAAAATAAGACATCCCCCCCAAATAAGATCCAGTGCTTATTTTGGAGTGCAAGAGAAAATAAGACCAGATCTTATTTTGGGGAAAACATGATGGCTAGGTTCTGGGCATACTCTCCTGTAAATAAACTATGATTGTGGTGAATCCTCTAAACAAATTATATATGCAGTGAGGACAGTTGTGCTTCTGTTAGCCAGAATAAGCAATCAATACAATTTAGTTTTTGTACCCCTTTTTCCAGTGAGAATGAATTTCCACCTTTTAATAAAAGCTCAAGTAACATTGTCAAACTCTTTGGGAAGATTGTGAGTAGATCTATTATAGCATTGCACCTGCAACGTGATCTTAAAAACTAATGTATATGTTAATGATGCACACTTAAATTTTCATTTCCAAGAGAGACTTTGAGATGTAAAAAGTAGGTATGTTGTATTATATTATTTTAAAGTATCCTATCCAACATATACTTCTAGGTGCAATTCAAGGTGCTAATGGAAACCTATGGATAAAGCCTTTCTATGGGTCGGGGCCATCTCTCCCCAGTAGTGTTTACCCGTCCTGTGAGATCCAGCCGAAGCAAAATGAAGCCCAGGAAGAGAGCCTTTTCTACCATGGTGCTTACAGTTACACTGAAGTAATCCGAAAAGTTCACATTAAAAGTGGTATCGAGATTAAATAGCCAGTATGAATGTTTTATTTATAGCTACAGCATACACACTCAAAATGACTAAGCAGTAATTGCATTTAAGATCAGCATCAGCCTGTGTATTACAATGAATAAATTTAAACAATTACAAATGCTCAGGAATTTCGAGAAGATACCTGCAGTTGAAACTGAGCTGGAGAAATCTGACATTGGGAGCAATGGGTAATGTATTTACACTTCAAACAAACAAAAACCAGAAGCTGAGTATTTCAAACTATTTTGCACAGCAGGACCAATAGCTTCTAAGTATATAGTTCTAAGATTTTGCACTTAAAATATTGCCTGCACTGCACCCAATGGGACTGGTAGCAAGAGATGACATAAAAATACTTTAAAAAGTTCTTCAATGTCCTATGCAAAAAAACCAAAAAATCGGCATCATTGTAAATCACAGCTGCTTAATGCAAACGCTTTTTAAGGATATTAATATCCGCCAATACATTCAGCGAACTGCTATTAAAAGGGGTCATTCTTACTTGTAATCTAATGATCACTAAGCCAAAAAGATTAGTGTTCCTACCTGTTTTGTCCTATTTTTAATATTTTATCAGCATTTCCTATATTTTTAGCTACTAGCAATGAAAGACTTGAGAGCCTTAGATCTCAGTTTGAATTGCTTTCCAGCAGCCTAATAATACCTTTAAATACTTAAAGTATTTTTTAAACTCGGTGGATTCAAAAATAACTTCAATGACATGCATTACTAATATAATTGACACAGCACTCCAAAGACAATGTGTACAAAAATGCAACAACTTTTCATGGCTAGAAAATTCAAGTTTTTCCATCCATTTTAAGTAAAACTATGAATATTTCAGATTCTTTTAAAATAAACTCTGTAGTTAAACTAAAGTTTGCAGAGAAACACACTCCTTCAGCAAGAAGCAAAAATTAGTTTCTTAGATGCTTGTGTGACAACTATATCAAGTCCTAAATAGAATGGCTATAGTGCAGAAGGTATAAAAGGAATAACTTCAGTGAAAATAGCTTCTGAGTTAAAAATGCAATTAATCTATTGGTTATCCTTCCTTTTGTTCTTTTCCCTGTAAAACAGAAGTTAATCCCTCTTTGCACAACAGTTTCAAAGGAAAGGAAAGGATCATCCAACAAATTAATGCCTTTAAACTGGCTACTTCCGCTATTTTAAGATAATAAAAGTAAACTGATTACTAACTTCCAATCCTCCTTTATTCATTCAATCAAGAGGGCAAAGACCACTAAATATCCTAGCAATATTGTAGGTGACTCTAAACTAGCTCTGATCCCCTCTTATTTCTTTCCTACTCCTAATTTTCTCCCTTAGAGTCCTCATATAGATGAGAAAATTGCGAATACAGATGAAACTATTACCCCTCACCGTGTTTAAAAATAATAAATCTCACATGGAATCAGTATGCATTCCCATTTTAAAAACAAACACAAAGATGAGAAAATTAAATGCTTCTGCTACAAGTTTAGAATCTTTTAGATACTCCCCTTGTATTCTGATTCTTAGTCATATTCAAATATCAACTATTCTATAAGTAAAGGTGCAAAGGGAGAAATAAATGGCAAGCGGGTGAATCCCACACATCCATTTGCTTTTAAAGGTCAGGTACCTCACTTCTCAAACAGATTTTTTAATTAAAACACTACAGCTGCTACTTGCTGTACTTGCTGTACTTGCTATTTGCTCTTGCAAGTAACAAGTCAAATACTTTGATTTTGCATGTGCTCCCTATCGCACTTTGGCGGCTCATTACGTAATTACTCCAAATAAGTGCAAGTTGCTTCACAAACACCTTAACTCTGCTAACAGAATATGCAACAATATGCTGGAGGAAAGCAGCAATCTTCCTATTTTGTTTCTAACTTGCATTTAGTGGAATAAAGCCTGTGGAACTGCTGCTGACATTTCTAGTTTGGCCCTGAATCTAGCAGCAATCATAATCAAGCTCAAGTAGGAAAACAGTCATGGTAATGATAACCTGATTTAAAATTAGTCATGCATAATAAAGACAGGATAACCTACACTAGTATTAAGTACACAAACACATATTTACAATTATTTCTTAATACAGAATAGCATTAGCATCAAATAAGCAACTAAACAATAAAAGCCTTCAAAAAGAAAAGATGCTTAGCTTAGTCAAATTCACGATTTGTTAAAACAAGTGGAGCCACCAGAGTCCACACATACAGAATGATACCAATCCAGCTGGAAGAAATCTTCACCCAGACAGAAGGCCATTTACTGGTCATTTGTGCAGAGGAAGGGTCAGGACTGAAAAAAAAACCATTCAGAACAGTTTTTTAGATTCACTTGTGCAAACAAGGAAATCAGTTTTCTTAACAGAATTCACGCAGTTTACAGATCACTTGTAATCACTTGTAATTGATCCCTCCATCACTTGTCAGGGACCAATCCATTTCTACTTTATTCACCCCACAACAGACTACACAAGGTTCTCTGATTTTCAGAGAGATTGGAGTGAGGATGGGCAGCAGACAAAACGGATGGAGGACAAGCTAGAATAGGATGCACGAAACAAAAGATCTCTGCCTATTCTATATGCATGGTTCTGAATCCAATTCTGAAGTCCAATACTTGATCTGCCGCCTCATTTCATAAATGAAAAGCACTTTCAAAAACAAGAGTAGTGGGTATATGCCCCCCCAAAAGGCATGTGGCACAAAAAATGTTATCTTTCCCCAATTTTCTATAAAGCGACTTACCTGTACCAATTAGTTAATGTCATCATGATATAAAGAGAAGCAAGGAAAAGCATGAAGTGAAAGAAAGAATAGCTGTAAGTAACTCCGTCTTTCTCATTGTCAACAGCACGGTGTAAATCATCCCCATCATCTAGGGAGCCTTCACTCCGAGGAAGTCCATCTTCTATCAGTGTTGTCTCATCACTAGTCAGTGTAAGTTTGTTTACTTGACTGTTATTAGATGTTCGGATACTGCAAATGAAAAAAAAAAGGGCCGTTACTAAGTACCCAGCTAATGTAGGGATTAATAGTGAACTTTGTGGAAGTTTTCTGAAAGTTTCACTAACCTTGAATACAGAACACACAGTAAGAACAGGATGAGCCCCACAATTCCTTGGGCATCCCACCAATGTACCAGCTGACCCTTGCTAGGAGGGGTTGTGGTATTATATCCAATTATGTTCAGCAAACTTGGATTGCACTGTCTGTCTAGATGAATATAAGAAATTGACATTCTTAGCAATATAGAGTCATGTTTATGAACATCCTTCTAAAGATGCATAATATGTAGATTTACATTAGGAGAATAAATGAATAATGAGCTGTGGTGGCGCAGTGGTTATATTGCAGTATTGCAGACTAATATTGCCCACAGCCAGGAATTTGATCCTCAAGGTTGACTCAGGATTCCATCCTTCCTAGTTGGTAAAATGAGGTAAAAGAGTTGGGAGCAATATGCTGACATTTGTATACCACTCAGAGAAAGCACTGTAAAGCACTATATAAGTCTAAGTGATATTGCTGTTGCTATGATGTGCCAAATAAATTAACCTCTGCTATGAAATCTGTCTAAGGCCAACCACTCATAAACATGTATAATACCTCAAGTATATTTAAAAGCAATAAACAAAAAGGCTCTGCTCATTTTATTCCAAAACTGTATAGAGAATATGTTTACCAAATTGTTTAGTCTTCTTACCTGGCTCATTGGTCATTGCTGCCCAAGTAAGGTACATTGTATAAACTGTTATCACAGATGATTGCAACAAGCCAGATCTTGGTTGTGATTCCTATGTACAAAGAGAAAGAAACCAATTAGGACTTTGGAAAAAGATTGCTTAAACAAATATTCAAACATTTTCCAAGTATTTGTAAAAAAACAAACCAACCCATACCTGTATTTTGGGTAAAATTGACATTACAGATGCTCCAATACACAGCATCATATTGACACTGATAAAGGCCTTATTTTCAGAACAGCCATCTGGACGAGTATAGTAGATATAAAATAAGACAACTGCCACCAGAGACAGGAGATAATTTAGAGCTGTGGCAGACAGCAATGCTGTTTTTTAAAAAAAAGAACAAAAAGAGATTCAGATTGTATTAGCATTCCTAAGAAATTTATTACTGGGCTGCTTTTTTTTTTTTTTTAAAGAGAAACTACACTACTATTGTAACTGATGAATTCCCAAGAAAATCTGATGTTTTCACATTTTTCCCATAATGGTTGGGAAATTTAAATATAATACAGCAAATGGCCTTTCATAAAATTTGCAGGAGAAAATTCATACAGGTCAACTGGTACATG